ATCGTTCACAGTCAGAGGTGCATTCATCCAGGCCAATTGTAAATCATAGCAATACCGAGCCCATGCGCTCACTCTCGCCGCACGACCGGCGTCGACCTTCCTTAGGCGCTTCCTCAGTCACCGTTCAGCTATCAGCCTCACCTCCGAACGAGGGACCTCAGGCGGGCCCTGCGCCGGACGCTGCTGCCCCACAAGATGAGGAGGCAACTCCCGTTGCACAAGACTCGTCGATGCTAGATGTAACTGTCCCTCAGCTTCTGCAACTGGGCGTCCCGATGTTAAAGGTGTCCGCAAAGAAGCAGAAACGGTACATATTCAAACTAGACCCTGACCAGGGCCAGATCGTCTGGCAATCAAAGAAGCTGCGCATTAGTGAGCCGTCCGTTACACAGCTCGGTATCCCCCTAACGAGTCACGAATGTCAGTTCCCATTGAGAACATTAAGGAACTGCGGGAAGGCGCGGATGCGCGTTACTACCGCCAGCAGTTCCAGATTGCACCCTCGTTTGAGGACCGATGGCTCACCATCGTCTACGTGCTCGATGGGCGCTACAAGACACTGCACCTACTCGCGGCGACTCGAGACGTTTTCCAGATGTGGGACCTTATGCTGCGCAGACTGTACGCGATCCGACAGAAGCTCATGAGTGGTCTGGGGTATACGGAAGTCCGCCAGGCTGTTTGGGAGAAGCAATTTTGGAAGGGGGACTCTGGGACAGACCAGAGGCTGGAGTTTGAGGAGGTCGAACGCATGTGTAGGAGGCTGAATATCAACCCGAGCACTGATGATTTGCTGCGTAGATTCAAGGTCGGTATATGCATATATTCTGCTACGTAACCTCGTCCTCATGGTTCTTGTACGACAGGAGGCTGACGCCCAAGGCCGAGGTTACCTCGACTTCTCCGATTTCCAGCGCTTCGTCAAGGCGTTGAAGGCACGGCCCGAGATAGACAGCCTATATGAAAGGATCGCAGGAGGTTTCGGGGGAACAATCGCGTATGAAGCGTTCGAGCAGTTCATGCGTACATGTCAGAAGGTGCGTCATGTAGCTGATATGAGATCCATGACATTGACTACTGCCCCCAGTCATCGCTGAGTGCAACCGAGCTTCAGCGCATTTTCCTTCGGTATGCTTCTTCGCCTGAAGGACGAGGCTTCTCTCCACCCTCGTCGCCCGCCCGGAACACCCTGGAGTTGGCTGCCCAGTCAACATCCGTGATCAGGGAAGTTGACCCCTCACGGGGACACACCGATCCGACAGGTGGTTCGCCCCGTCCCCCATCTTCCATCGGGACGCCTTCTTCTAGCATTTTGACGTCAAATTCGGCTCAGGGGCTCACGATTGAGACGGCAGTGATGTCCTTGAAGGGCTTCACCACCTTCCTGTTGTCCACAGACAACTCAGCCTTCGCGGACCAACACGGGAAGATCTACCATGACATGACACACTCTCTGCCGGATTACTACGTCTCCTCGTCGCACAACACGTACCTCGTCGGTCACCAGCTCGTGGGCGAGAGCACAATCGAGGGCTATATACGAGCGCTCTTACACAGCTGCAGGAGTGTCGAGCGTGAGTGTAATGTCTCGCATGCTGTATGAATGCTGCATATTCACGCGCTGTCCATCGAAGTCGACATCTATGACGGTGATGTTGAGCCTGTGGTATATCACAAGCACACGCTCGTCTCGAAGGTCTCGCTGCGTGACGCCTGCGCTGCCATCAACAAGTATGCCTTCGTCGCGTCGCCGTATCCGATCATCATCTCGGCGGAGGTGCACTGCTCGCTTCCACAACAGGACCTCATCGCAAAGATCATGCAGGAAGAATTCGGAGATGCGTTGATGAGTGCACCGGTGGACGGGAGGCCGAGGCTAGAGGCGCTACCAAGCCCAGAAGATCTGAAGGGCTGTATCTTGTTGAAGGTGTGCTGACATTCACTGTTCTGGGTTCGCCGGTCATGAAGCATTCGTTTGTAGGCGAAGAACCTGTTCGTTACAGATAAGAGCAGCTTGCAGGAGAAGGAGATCGTGGTTGACGCTGAGACGTCCTCGACGGAGACTTCATCTGCCTCAGAGCTGGAAGAGTTGAAGGAATGGCGGAATACGTATAGGAAGGGTATGCCCCACCACACGAACCTCTGTTTTTGTACTGATTGAACGCATTTTCTAGACCTTAAATCCGAGCTCAAGAAAGCTCGTGCAGTTCTTGGGGGTTCTCCACGAGCGGATGCACGCCAGTTGCCTCCAACTTACCAACCTCCGCAGAAGGTGAGGATGTCGCTTTCCCTGGTCGCTCTTCTTGTCTACACCGTTGGAGTGAAATGTCGTGGCTTGAACAAGAAGGAAGTCTACGCACCGGAACACCTGTTCTCGCTATCTGAAGGGACGTCAAACCGACTCATGAAGCAGGGAATGCTGGACTTGATCAAGCACAACCGGACTCACCTCGTCAGGATCTACCCAAAGGGCACGCGCATCGGCTCGACGAACTTTGAGCCTCATCGATTCTGGTCCGCGGGGTGTCAGCTGGTTGCAATCAATTGGCAGACGTTCGGTCAGTTGTGTCAGCGTATGGTTTCTGCATACATGATGACTGAAGAGCTCCCACAGACCTGGGCTACATGATCAACCGTGCGATGTTCCAGCGCAACGGGCGCGCCGGCTATGTCCTCAAGCCCTTAGCATTGCGTTTGGAAGGGGACAAACAGCTTCTCAGGAGACATAACAACCATTGCCTCGAAGTCATCATCATCTCCGCACAGCAGCTACCACGACCTAAGGACTCGTCCGGGCGGGACGTCACCGACCGCTCCACGGTCGACCCGTTTGTCGAGGTGTCGCTGCACATCCCCGACTGGCCCGAGGTCCCGCCCTCACGCCGCGCGTCGCTGGATGCGGCGCCTGTGAGTGCGAAGGACCAGCCTTCGCCGACGAAGCCCGCGCGGACGGTCGTACAGCGGACGGGAGTCGTGAAGAATAACGGATTCAACCCGGTGTGGGAGCAGCAGCTGAGCATCCCGTTCGACGTCGTGGGCGAGATGCACGACCTAGTGTTTGTGCGCTTCGCAGTGAAGCAGGAGGGTCTGGTGGACGAGGAGCCACTGGCAGTGTATTGCGCAAGCTTGGGCAGCTTGAATATGGGTGAGTTCTGTAATGGTACGGGCGCAAGAAATGTGTGACTCACTAGTAAGGTGTGAAGGCTACCGACATCTTCCTCTCCACGACGCACAACTGTCGCAGTACCTCTTCTCTACACTCTTCGTCAAGCTGGACATCCTAGACATGTAGACGGTCCCGTGGCGCGTGCCTCGCCATCCATCCCGGTTGCAATATTAATGAAACGCAGTAGAATCACCATCCAACTGTACAACATCACATCGGAGTACCGGACTCTGCTCTCAAACCAAGATCCCTTCGAATATGCTTCTTATCGATGCTCATCGTACGACACGCCTACAATCCACTACTGTACTATACCAGTAGCCACTTACTCGCATATTTCCCCACCGCCATCTCGCAGCATTCACCGCACATACATATATGCCACAATCAATACTACAACCAACATCCTAGTTCAACATATTATCGGGCCCTGACGGCGTTAGATCGATCAATAGATGGCAGACATGAAGTTCGTCGACGTTTCGTTTCGATGGCATAGCGAGGTGCTACAACACTGGATGGATCTTGAGAGTGGAAGGGGGCGGAAAGCGAGAACTGAATTGTGTAATGATAGCTGCAATTAGGAGAGAAATAGGCGGGAAACACTATGGCGCGCCACCGATCGGGCCCCGATCCGTATTATGAGCAGGACGGTTTACTTCGGTGGTGGGGAGGGAGGACCTAAAGGGAGGTCTGAGAGGCAACACGCATTATCGAATGAGGGGTACGTGCCAAAGAGACCCATGCGAGGTGGCGCCATCTCAGTGGGCAAAGGAGAGGCAGCCGTTCCGGGGATAGGCTGAGGCGAGAGGAGCGGATTCGCTTTACATCGCGGAAACAACGTTGCGGAGACGTCATCGTCGTCAATATCAGCCCCTCATACAGCCCAAATGAACTACGCACGTTTCCATTGCGCCCACGCAGGCAGGTTCGGCGTCGGCGGCTCTGGAACGGGCGCAGGGGCAGCCTGGGGCGGGGGCAGTGCCTTCGCCTTCGCCTTCTGCCGACGCTCCTGGCGGACGTTGACGGTGCGCCATGCGGGGCGTGCAGGTGCGTCACCAGCCTGCGATGGCGGTGGCGGCTCAACGGCGGGCGGAGGCGGCGGCTGATCTTCGACGGGCTGAAGGGAGACGCGTCAAGCACGGGGTATGGTGGCAACGAGGCGAAGAAAGTACTGACGGGTGGTCGCCAGTCGGCTGTATACTCTCCTCCGGCGCCGTGCTTCGACTTCACACTCATGAGCTCTGCGATCTCACTGCAGCGGCGCGACGATGCCCGAGCGATCGTGCGGCAATAGAGTGATTAGCACGAGCAGCCTGGCACTCGGATGAGATCACGCACTATTGCAATTGCCTACGCTCATCCCGCAGCTTGCCGACTTCCTGCAGCAGAATGCGCACTTCGGAAGCGAGAGCTTTGCTGAAGTCATTGATATACCTAGTAGACAGAATGGATCAACACCATGATCTATACGGGTTTAAAGAAGATCGGGCGCACCTCGCTTGACTGGCTGGGGTCGATTTTCCAGACATCTGAGTTCACAGTCGAGAACAGAGCAGGGTGGAATGGGAGTAAGGAGAAGAAAGGCGAGGGTGCACGCGAAGTTGCGGCGAAGTTCAACATCTACGGAACCAATCCATGTGCCTCGACATGTCCAGCCACGAGGCGCCGTCTCGATCCGCTCCGATGCCTCATTCCCTCTGCACACCATCTACGCGTTACTGGAGCACACTCGCGGAATAAAGCGTTGCACCCTCGAACCAACGCGCATATCCAGCTGCGTTATGCACAAGAGTACATGAAGAGCTGCCAGAGTCCAGCAAGAAAATCACTTCTGCCCCGGTGAGGCTCGAACTCACGACCTTCCGATTGTCTGAACCGTAACAGTCGGACGCTGTGACCAACTCAGCCACGGGGCATTGAATTTTTGATCTTTACAAGGCACTTCAACGGTCAACATACTCACCTCCCTGTGAACAGCTCCAGCGGTACATAGTACCACCGGGGGCAAATCAGATTTTATCGACTCCGAACATGCTGAGAAGAGTGGCGGCGGTGGAGAGCCAGTAACGGGCATGTTCGGAGTCGATAAAATCTGATTTGCCCCCGGTGTACCACGCTAGCGCTTATGCGCGACGTCGAGTTGGACATCATAGTACTATGTGGCGTTCACTGTACCGCGATGCTCATACGGAACGCCTCTTCTCTGCCCTAGCGATTTGCATAAACCTCAATATGACGCGTCATAAACAGGACCAAAATTGAACCAGTGTATGTTGATCCATTATTGGGTTAGTAAGTACTGCGCTGCGAAGGATCGCCACTATTGTGCACGGATCCACAAGGAACCCCGCAGTCAGCGGTGCAGAAGGTTTGAGGGTACTATTACAATATTAACATTCTCTAGACTCTCAGGAGATGGGCTTCTGGCAGAGGGGTCCCACGGTGGCTTCACGAAGGCCAGGTTCGTGGGCTGGTATGGAAGCACGAGGTATTTCAACTCTCAAATTACACTATGAACTCAATGCCCCTCAGTCTTTTGAGGGCCGCTGCGCCAGGATATTGGCGCGAGGTCTAGCAGCCGAAAACGTCGTCTCTAGAGTCCCTGCTGACGGTTCAGGGAGATGCGACCCCGAAGGTGACTATTCTACTCACTTTGTCTCCAACAGGAGTCAGATATTCACTGCCCGTGTGGTGAACGCAACTCTGATAGTTATAGGCTGAAGTCAAACCCTCGACGACTATCTGGCACGGAAGTCTCAGCGATTGCATGCGCAATTGACTCTGAGCTCACACATAATCCGCCCACTTCATTCTGAATCTCCAGCTGACCTCTTATCACCTCAGAAGCCGATGGAGACAAGGAACCCCGTGAATCCACCTATCAAGTGGAGCGATAGACTTCCTCCTAATCTCCAGGTATCTCTCTCTTCTTTGGAGTAGTGGTTTTGAGGCATATAAGACAGCACGCTTGATGCCTGACATCTCCCAATCGCTCACGCCAAAGAGCGATACATTAGCTGGTATCGAAAATGCCTGGTACTGTCATTCCATCAGCGCCCCGGTGGGTCCCTGCCCCGCCCACGAAAGCAGATCGTGAGTACGCAGCAGACATCTCTACAATGGATGTTTCACAGCTGCGAACTAGTTGACTATGCGGACCTACCCATTATCGACTTCGCAAAGCTCTCCAGCCCCGGGGGCAACGCGATATTGGCGAAGGAAGTACACGATGCGATGACGACGTCCGGCCTTCTATACGTGATCAACCATGGCCATACGCAAGCTCAGGCGCGCCCGCGTCTTCGTAGGACTACTTACCAGACTCTGATTTCTGTTCACTATGACAGACGGACCGTATGTTCGACATCGCGGATGTCCCATTCAGTCAGGTGTCCGACCAGGAGAAAAAAGCCTACGAGTGCAACGTCAAGGAACTAGGCACATACCAGGGCTACAAGTTACGGCAGTACTGGGTACGCCAACGTTAGCAGGCGCTTTATCCTGCCTGATCCCGTTCTTCAGCACGTCGACGCGGGCGTGCGGGACCAGATCGAGAACTACAATAGTACGTTTGCACTGCTTGTATTCGTGGACCAACGCCGACTGTCTGGGTAGTCACTCGCGACGTTACAAAGAAGCAGCACCCGGAAACCCTGCGACCGTTCTTGCCCGAAATCCAGGAGTTCATACGGTTCTGCCACTTCGGCATTCTTCATCCTTTGCTTCGGTATGTCATCTTCCGATATTTGCTACTCATAGTTACACCGTTACGTCTAGACTACTTGCCATTCAACTCGAATTACCGGAGAACGCGTTCGTCAACCAGTTCAATCTCGACGCAGAGGGTGATACTTGGTGTGCGTCTTGCTTCCGTGCGCTACTTGAGCGCTGCTGACACGTATTCAGTCCGTTCCATGAAATAGTGAGCGACGCACAGGTTCAGTATTACAGCCTGATCTCAGAGTGCTCACAGTTATCCGCGTTCTGCGGACGACGAGGAGAGGACGAAGAACGTATGGCTCAAGGGGCACACAGGTACGTGACCTGCATTAGAGTCGAAATGTCGACATAACGTACAGTACGATAGACTATGTTGGCGTCACCATTCTCTGGAGCCAGCCGGTTGCCGCTCTCCAAGTCATGTCCCCGGACGGGAAGTGGCGATGGGTTAAACACATTGACAACGCAGTAGTAAGTCTTAACTGTCGTCTGCCCCGCCTGAGCATCGCCTCATTCCTGATCAACAAACAAGGTTGTCAATGCCGGCGATGCCATGGAGTACCTGTCCGGTGGGTACTACAAGGCGACCATCCACCGCGTAGTCCAGCCTCCAGAAGATCAGCGCGGCTACCCTCGACTTGGCCTGTATTACTTCACCATGCCGGATGACGACGTCCTCCTTGTGCCTCACACCGAGAGCCCTGTTCTTCAAAGGCAAGGCATCAAGCGGTGCTTCGAAAACACAGATGCACCCACCATGGGACAGTGGCGCGTGGAGAGGGCTAGTCGGATAGGCCAGACGCAGCTTGAGAAGAGGTCTGACGGCCACGAGCAGGAGATGATCAATGGCGTCCTTGTGAGGTATTACAACTGAGGCATCAGACAAGAAGTTACGCCTTTCTCGTAACTAAAACCGTCGAAGGCAGACTGTACAGTAGCAATCGCTCTGCAGACCCAATCAATTACACGTCGCCAGCGTTGATTAACCTTTGTGTTGGGTCAGAGAGATGCGCCATCCAACCAAAGCGGAGCATTCTATTCCCGTTCGATCTTGCTGGCTGCGTACAAAGATATTGCTACATTAAACTTCCTTCTCCCCAGTAATTAAATCCCGTCTCGCCGTTATCACCCGCTTTTACGTGATGACAGTCGGCTCATCGCGATGCAGGAACTCCTTGAGGCTGCTCAGCTGCAGCGCAACCTCGATCAAGCCCTGCAGGCCCTCCTTCGTGGGCTTGCTGAGCTCCGCCTTGCCCTTGTCCGCGGCGACGTAGCGCTCGACGTACATGCGGACAGTCGCGCCCTGGCTGCCGGTCCCGCTGAGGCGGAACACAACGCGAGAGCCGTCCTCGAAGCGGACGACCTGGCCCTGGTTCTTCGACACGCTGTGGTCAATCGGGTCGGTGTAGTCGAAGTTGTACGCATCCTTAACGACGAATGTCTGGCCCGTCGACGCGGATGAGTGCGTCGTGCCCGCGAGGTCGCCCTTGGCGATGTGCACGTTCAGCTTGTCGACGAGCTTCTGCGCGCCGTCGGACGCGACCTCCTCGTAATCGTACCGCGAGAAAAAGGAGCGGCCGTACACGGCGTAGTGCTTCTGCAGCAGCTCGTTGATGCCGATCAGCTCGTTTGGCGACTGCTTGTTCGCGTACGCGAGGATGTTGAGCCATGCTGTAAGGCTGTCAGGACATAGCTCGCGTTTTCATCGGGAGCGATACTTACCGACGATAGCCCAGACACCGTCCTTCTCCCGGATGTGGTCCGAGCCGGTACCGAAGGACTCCTCACCACAAATGGAAAGACGACCAGCGTCCATGAGATTACCGAAGAACTTCCAGCCTGTAGATTGCTCCAAGATCAGACTGGTCGGCACTGCGTTTGTCTTGAAACTTACCAGTCGGGACGACATGGCACTCAAGGCCCTTCTTCTTTGCCACGTAGTCAATTTGCGCACTTGTCGGCATACTGCGCGCGAGACCCTTAACGCCACCCTTCTTGAAGTACGGAATCGCCTCCGCCCAGTCGGCGATGATGGCAACACTGTCACTCGGTGTGACGAACGCGCCCTTGCCGTAGATCATGTTACGGTCACCATCACCATCGCTGGCCGCGCCAAAGGTGATGTTATCGCGCTCGACACGCTCTACCAGGTCATGCGCGTAGGTCAAGTTCGGATCGGGGTGTCCGCCACCGAAGTCGGGCAGCGGCTTGTCGTTCTGCACGGACGACGAGGGTAGGCCGAGGGTCTCGACGAAGATCGCGCGACCGTACGGGCCAGTGACACCATGCAGGCCGTCGAAGAGGACGCTGAAAGTGTCCGCCTTCTCGACGAGGAAGCTCTTGATGAGCGGGAAGTCGAAGATCTCCTCCAGCATCTCGAGGTAATCCTTGACCGAGTCAATGACTTGCACCTCCGCCGGGCCGTATTTAAACGTGCCAATCTTGCTCAGATCCGCGGCCGGGAGCTCGAGCACCTTGTACGACGAGATGGTCTTGCTCTTCTCGAAGATCTTGTTCGTGACGTTCTCCGGCGCGGGCCCACCGTTCGAGACGTTGTACTTGATTCCGAAATCGTTGTTCGGTCCACCGGGATTGTGTGATGCGGTGAGCAGGATACCACCATTCGCCTTGTACTTCCGGATGACGTTCGATGCGGCAGGGGTGGACAGGATAACATCCTTTCCGACGATGAACTTCGCGACACCATTGGCAGCGCCGATCTTGAGGATCAACTGCGCTGTCTCGGGACTGTAGAAACGGCCATCACCACCGATGACGAGGGTCATGCCCTTCGGCTCGATGGAGTCGAAGATGGCCTGGATGAAGTTCTCTGTGTAGTGCTACTCCAGTCAATCATCGGCCACAAGGTGAGACGCGTTTGAAACATACCTCCTGCTGGAAGACCTTCACTCTATTCGATCATCATTAGTATCATTTTCAGTGAAGCCCGATCGTAGAACTGCACGACGTGGGTCCTAAACAACAACAATGAGCCCGTAACAGGGCTTAGCGGACCGCTGCTTGGAAGCGGGCCTTCTCCGCGAATCTGACATCGGCGTCAAGGCTACTCAGAGCATCATTCATTGAGCGTCTCGTGGACGTTCACAACGACCACTGGCTAGGCGTGCCCAGCCCAGGTCGTTTCACGCTCACAGCCCGGCAAGCAAACCTTACACTCCTCTCCCATAGTCACCAG